CACGTAAACAGTTCAGTTTAATAATTATTTCAATTTAATCACAAACTAATTATGCATACGAGAATAATGCAGTATGGAGTACAATTAACAACAAATTGTGAACAAATAAGTGTAGAAAGCAGCAATTAAACCGCAACACATTTAACAACAATAAAATTTGTGTGAAGTAATGAAGTAACATTTGCGCCAAACACTGTTATGTGCACAATAAAATGATTTGAGTTTAATTACAAACACAATAAGCAAGAACACATATGTTTTATAGAGTAATCGACAAATTCCACTTATATAAATTCAATGCATATCATTTGCCACATGCGTCCGTCAGAGTCACATTACCGTACTCGATCTTATTATTACCACAATTATATTATCTCTGTCTCTGCCTCTGCCTTTGCATTTGCCTTTGCCACAGTCATTGCCACTATGGCCACATCTCAGATGCTCGTGCTCATACGCATACCACAACTTCACCATTGATAGCATCAGCAGCAGCAGTGGAGGAGACAGCATTGTTTGTGAAGTATAATAGTAAAGTGTGATGCATATTTCCTGTTAGGTTTGTCTGTCCATACGTATCTAGATACTGTCAATTTCACATTTAACTGCACACAATTTATAGAAATACTTAAGCACTCACATATGTGAGCACATAACTAAATATTTATTTATTTACTTTTTTCATTACAATGTACATCACCACTACTAGAGTAGAGTACTGGCAGTCAGAAACATATATTGTGCTTACCAAATTTCATTGTATTTTATTTATTTTTATTTTATTTTATAGATCCACACCTCACACCCCACAGCAATAGAGTAGCATACAAATAGCAGCATATCTTAAGTGAAAATTGTTGTTGTTGTTTTGTTAGTAGATTTAACCACACTCTCCGTTAGAATAATTATTTGTTTTAACACCAAAATATATCTCGGTTAAAGCCAGCCAACACGCCCTTTTAACGGTGTGGCAGCACATGTAGGCTGCCATATGTGCCATTTGCCTGGCTCACATCAACCAGATGAAACACATTTTATGCCACAAACATTTGCAGCCTACCATCCTTCCAACTTAAGTCTAACGATATTTTTGTCTGTTTTGACATGTTGTACATCCTTTAAGACATTTGTATTCCATGTGCTTATCTGCCATGATATGCTGTTCTTACCTTATGTGATTTATCCAGATACACACGTGTACTACAAGTATTTTTATATGCATTTTTATATGTGCTCTGGCATTTAGATTTGTGTAATAATCTTTATGTTTGTATAATTTTTCAATTTTCTCGTAATATTTCTTCCGATTTTAAATTGAATTATTCCGGATGTAACGAACGAAATGCTTTACAAAAATTCCGAATTTTGTTTTTTAATGTTGATAGGATTTCCTAAACACATTCCTAATTATATAAAATATTTTTAAAACAATATTTGTTTTAAATGTTTCATATTATTTTTTAATAAATATAACTAAAAATTTAATATTTTAAAAAATATATATAAAGAGGTTTTTCGAACAATAGTGAACTACAACAACAAAAATTTATTTTATATTATTTTAATTAATTCAATTTTTGGCTGACCTTATATTGCCAAATACTCATTATCAGTGAGTATTTGATAGAGAAATACTATTGTATTTGTATGAAACTGTTGTATTTGATACAGAGGTTTCGAACAGTACTGAATTGCAACAACAAAAATTTTTATTTATTTTTCGAATATTGCCAAACACCATCATTAGTGGGCTTGGAATTATTTCATATATTTAATTATTCGTAAATAATTTATAGTTTTAATAATCAAATATTTTTAATAATATATTTGTTTTTTTATTTCGATTATATTCTATAGTTATCATCAGGGATAGTCGAAATAGCGTTTCAAATAAAAGCTTTTAAAGCTCAAAAAATAAAATTTTTAAAAGTATATTATTTAACTACTGTCCATATACCCCGCTAAAAAAAATAATTATTATTTATAAATAATTTTTTAAGACTGCAAGAGTACCAAGAGTTGAACTCGTACCCTGCCAAATTTGAAGCTCAGAGTCAGTGTTCATTAATCAAGTTCATTAGACAAGTCCAGGTACCTCGGTATATTGTAATATTGAACATACTTAAGCAAAAATGTTATTTCTTCATTCAAAATAAGTTGCACATCTAGATATTTATTACGGGTCTCATTCTCCTTCTTACAAAACCTGTAAATTTTATTAAAGTTCATTTTCATTTTTGTGAGGTAACTTACAACTAAATATTTAAAGATACCTACAACTCTATGAGTTTATTACCATTAAGAGAACCCATATCCTAGCCAAAGTTAATTGCACATGAATTATTTATATTGCAGCTTATTTTATCCCAATTTATATCCAATAAAAATTGTATTTCTTTTAAATATTATTAATTAGCCATTTTTTTAAATAAAGTGATAAATTAGAAACGTTAATTCAACTTAATTCTGAATAATTAAAAAACCGCCTATGTATAAAATACTTATTTCAGTTATAATCTTAAGTTACATCCACTTCACATCAAGTTATAACTAATAAAATACTAATTTTACTTATTTAAATATTTTATCAAGTAAAAATAATATACTATAATATACTTTTTTTTGTTATAATTTTATGCTCCATCTACATCATCTCAAGTTTTTTCTAATAAAATACTAATTTCATCTTTTACCTATTTTTTCAAATAAACAGAAGACAAATTTGATTCCATATTCAAAGAATCAGAATAAGCTAAAGGACTATAGATAAGAGTAAGGAACTCTCCTCAGACGAAGAGATTAGATTATATTCAAAAACAGGGATGTTTTTGAATATAAGCTTCTTCTGTGTATATTATAACAGTTTTATTAGTATGTTCAATCCCCCTCATCTCAAGTTACAACTACTAAAATATTAATTTCATCTTTTATATATTTTTTTAAATTGAGAAATCGGAAACTTGAGTTCAATTTAATTCTCTATAAAAGATAGAAACCTCCTGTATATTTACATTAGTTTTAATCCAATATATTATCTACGTCATCTCAAGTTATTACTATCAAAATACTAATTTTATTTCCAAACTATTCTCTTTAATTATGTGTTCTAAAATTTAAGTTCGATTTGATTCTATATAAACTGAAAGACCATACATAATGCTAAGGATAATTCAATATAAACATAAGCAACTCCTGTATGAAAAATATTATATTAAAATATACAATTAACAATTAAATATACAATTAAAACTAAATTGTATGCTCCATTCACATCATATCAAGTTATTACTAATCATATACTAATTTCAGTTTTTAACTACTCTTTTAAAATAATTAGTTGTCACTAATCGAACACTAATTTCACCTTTTAAATATTTTTATAAAATAGAGACATTAGAAGCTTAAGTTCAATTTAATTCTGTAAAAATATAAAAGCCTTCTATAAAAAAATTATTAAACTTTTTAATTATAATATTCTGCACATCATCTCAAGTATTTTACTAATAAAATACTAATTACATATTTTAAATGTTTTTTTTTTATTATGAAATTAAAGCTTAAGTACAATTTAAATCTGTGCAAACATAAGGACCTCAGGGACCTCAAGATTGATCCCACCAAAAAATACATAAAGGATAGAGCCCTGAAATTATTTGCGAAAACTGACAGACTTACCAACATCGCGTTATCAAATCTCAGAATGGTTACAGGCTCTTCGGGGAGATATGCAGATCTGAGGTCAATTATTGCTTAGTCTGATGAAGTGATAAAAAATAATCCAGTCAAGACGTAAAGAGGGGTTTTAAGAATACCTCGAGTTAAGAAAGAGTAAAAGGGCTTAATTGCACTGGCTCAAATAGCTTCAACATGATAAGGATCAACTATGGATAATATATTTATATTAGTTACAATCCTATGCTCCTTCCACATTAACTTAAGTTATTGCTAAACAAATACTAATTCCATCTTTTAACAAATTTTCTCAAATAAAGAGATTAGAAGCTTAAGTTTAATTCCTTTCTATAAAAACATAAGGACCTTCTGAAAAAATAAAATATCTTTTAAAATAAATATCTATACTATCTCCATATCGTATGTATCTTAGTTTTCGCTATTTCAGTTGAATGAAAATATTATTTTATTCCCTTGACTAACCTGTGATTCCTACAAAATAAATTCTCTAAATAATTTTCTATATAACAATAAAGAACTTTATTACCCCATGAAATGTGTCACATTAACGTTTTTATATTTCAATTACATTAACGAAATTGCTTGAATTGTATTGACATTTATTATCACCACAAGATGACTCCATACTCGTATTATATTTTATATTTGTAATAAAAAATGTTTTATTATAACTGCAGGCAGAAGTCATCCACGCAAACTAAGATTAATAACTATTTTTTTTTTTGGGTTTTTAATATTTTTTTTTTATTTTTATTTTTTTTCTTCTGATTAAATGCACGTCGTAAAAAGATAGCACAGCATAGTGCTTCTTTCTTTGACTGAATAAAACTATAACATTAAGAGATGAAAATTATAATTTGAAAAAATATGCTGGATACATCAAGATAAAAGAATCTAATTTCCTTTTTAAAAATTTCACTTCATTTATTTCTGTTTTGGCGGTTGAATAATTTCCAAGAATAATTGAAGAAAAAAAAATTGTAAGGAAATTGGTCCATTAGTGGTTAAATGGTTAGTCCTGTTCTACTTCCATTAAAGTTATACTAATTTTCGCTGCGGAAAATTTGAATACAAAATTCTTCTCTTCTTCGCTTTTAATTAAAAAGTCACTTGAACGCCACGCTTCGGCGTTGTTGCAATATTTAAGTGCACTTCTCTGTGGTTGGGCTTAATTATTTGTACTGTACTGTAAGTTTCCCTTTTTTTTTTGTATAACTTTTTCCTTTTTAATCTTTAAAATACCAAAAATACCAACTACTTTATTATGCTCGGCATTTACTAACTTTATTTTGTGCATCTCTTTTCAGGTTACCTGCGGTAAAAATTCTTAATAAATATTAATTTCACTCTTGCATTTTTTCACAAAGGAAAAAAGTAAAGGACGAAGAAGTACACAGCGATCACAAGTAATGCAAGTTAAACACATTTTTAATAAAATTTTTTCTACAAGCAAAGTGTAAAAAAGAGTGTATTTAAAAAGCGAAAGGAAGTGCGAATTGCAGCGAAATGGAAGCGGAAGCAACTTAATTAAAACTTTTCATTTAAACTTCATCAGATGAACGAAATACGCATTTTCGTAATGAACAGTTGAAATTGTCACAACAATCACAACAACGAATGCAACTACAATAACAGCGAAACACAATAATTTTTTCAACTTTTAACTTAAAACCTCAAAACTTTAAAATATAAACAACGACTGAAACTAATTAAAACTAAACAATTAAACAAAAAACAACAAACAACAAACAAACAAAGAAAAAAAATCATTTAAAAAAACTGCAACATTAACAAGCCAAATTAAACTTTAAACAAAAGTAACACGAACAGAGGAACAGGAACCGGAACACAAAGCCAAAATTTCAAAGGAAAATTGTTGAAAACCTTGATGCGACAGCCAAAGTTATATTTTGAAGTACAGCATTTACATGTGCAACAATAGCAACAACAACAACAACAGAAATAACCATCAACAACAGCAAGCATACGTACAGCATAGAGCATAGAATTATTCATTGCAACTAGTTAACAAATAAAATTTCATTAAAATTAAAACTCACCAACAATTTGCAATAGCAACTTTTTACAAACACACAACGAGCAGCAACAGTTCGTCTACTGCAACAACACATTCAACACATTTTTCTCAACTTGCACACTTCCTCTAACTCGGCAATTGATCCTGCTGCATTACTTTGTAGCAACGTAGCAACGTAGCAACGTACCAACGTAACATCGGAGCAGCAACAACATTTAACCACGCCGAATTATAAATCAGCAACAAAATTGGTAACAACGTCCTTGTAAACAGGCAACGACGTGCAACTGAAGCAAATAATCAGCAACGCAAATTACAGCAGCAACAGCATTATCAGCAACAACTTTAATGCCAGCATAACAGCAACAAGTTGACATAGCAGCACAGTTGCTATATGCCATCTATATAATCTATCTTATAGATAGATACGCAACAGTTCAGTTACACAACGTTTAGTGTGTAGATATTATTTTGTGTAGTGGAATCAATCTAAATGAATTTGCTGTGCTGTTGCTGCTGTACCATGGCACCAAATACACGGGTAACACGTAAATGGGAGCTCTTTGCTGGACGCAATAAATTCTATTGTGATGGTCTGTTGATGTCCGCACCGCATACGGGCGTTTTCTATTTAACGTGCATCCTCATAACTGGCACAAGTGCGCTATTCTTTGCCTTCGAGTAAGTATGAAATTTAAATCCTTTTCATTTTCACTAGGTAACTTTAATCGAAACTAAATTTTGGGGTTAAGCGTAGTTTAAATTCTGTAAAGATATGAGTACCTTCTATATATAAAATATTTATTTCAATTATAATCAAACATTTCAACCACGTCATTTTAAGTTATGACTGACATAATACTAATTTTACTTTTTTAAATATTTTATTAAATAAAAAGATAAATCAGAAATATTACTTCAATTTAATTCTATATAAATATAAGAGCCTTCTGTATATAAAAAACTTTTTTTTAGTTATATATCTATGCTTCATTAACAGCATCTGAAGTTCTTACTAATAAAATACTAATTTCATTGTTTAATGAAGAGATATTAAAAACTACAGTTCAATTTCATTCCGTATTAATATAAGGATCATTGATAAAGATAAGGATAACTCAATATAAATAGGAGAATATTCTGTATATAATATACTTTAACAGTTCTATGCGTATGTTCCATACACATTATCTAAATTCTAACTAAAAAAATACTAATTTCATCGTTCAAGTATTTTTTTAAACGAAGAAATTATAAATTTAAATTCAATTTGATTCTGTTTAAATATAATGGTCACACACACACACATTCATATACAATATAAATATAAGCACCTCAATCTAAATTAAATTCAATTTAATTGAAACTTTAATTTAATCGAAACGAATTTAAGCAAATGTTAAACTTGTGAAAACCATAAAGTAACAATTAAAAAGCACATCTAGTGCTTAACAATCCTTAAGAAAACTTTTAAGTGCCTACCATATGCTTTGTTCTTGTCCGGCACATTCACGATGCCGCCTTACCACTTTACGGACTTTCTTTTTTAAGGATCTTGGTCAACTGCAACGCCGACCTTCCCTTAAATAGCATTATAAGCTAAATGCTCAAGGTGGTTTTAGGTCTCTGGGGTTTTCCTTTTACGGTAACACAATAGGTCTATAGGCCTAATTGGCTGCTTTGGAATTGGCGGTATAACCTAACCTAACCTAAGAGAAGTTCTTGGGCACGAGCTTAGTGTCATAGATATAGACCGTCATATTCTTTCTGATCATGACCATGAAAACATGATAGAAAGTCAGATTACAATTGTCAATTTCCTACTGTTACTATTACTTTAATACTTTTTGTTTGTATTTGCATCTAAGAGGTAATAGTTTATGTACGGATATGCCCACATAAAACATGTGTACTAAACATTTTTTTCTAAAAGGCTTAACAAAATTATTTATTCCTGAGCAATATTACTTTGACCAAAGTGTTAAGGCACAGATAGTTTCATAAATGTGACCAAAGTTTAATCTGCCTTGATTTTCAAACTTCTAATCTTTATTAAAAAACAACAATTTCACATTCAACGTGAATTAACTCTCTGTATAATATAGTCCTTACGTAAATGCTGAATTACTAGAACATTTTATCACTGCTAAAAGTGAACAAAATTTGAAGGAGTAAAAAGAGTTCTTAAACTTCTAAATGATTGATAAGCATTTCCGAGCAATGACTGTATTGGTCTTCTGTTTTTAATAATTATATTCTGTTATTTTCATTTAAAGTTATATCATATCCGTAGATATGTAGTCACTAATTGTCTACTAAAACAGGATCGTCACACTCATATATGAATCAAATTTATTATGCACTGAAATAGCTACATCAGCATCACTTATGTTACTCCATTCTGCATCCGTCACGAGTGACATTAGTATGAAGAACAAATCCTATTCAAAAATTTGTCAGTTGCTTGATAGTCGTTGGTTTACCAAATTCACACACATTAACCAAAACCGTTCCAAACATCTACCAAAAAAAAAAAAAAATGACATTCACATTGCATACTGCAAACGTAGACGGACAGCTGATGGTTGACAGCAAAACGCATATTCGTCAGTAGATGAGAGGATAGTGAGGATGAGAACAATTTTAAAGTTTTTTATTTTTATTGAAAGAAAATGTTTAGACTTCATTTACTTCTCAGAAATATTAAAATTCTGCTTTACTTATAACCACATAATCGGAATACTAACTTATCTTAGATGTCCTTTAAACATTTCATAAAATTTAGTAATGTATTTCAGGTAAAAAAATAACCCACATTAGGAATAAAGTCAAAAAAATTTATAACGACGGCGATACGATATAATAGATATAAAAAATTATAACTCTGTTTTTATATTATTCACATAAACTTTTCAAAATTAGAAACATAATTAAAACTAGTGAACTTCAGAATATCGAGTGTTTTTTTTTCACTTTTGATAGTTTATTTATAATTTGTAGTATAGAGCTAAAGACATATTAAGCTAATTTGTTTAAAATTTATTTTATTTAAAATTTATTTATTTAATTTTATTATACACTATATGTGATAAATGTACTACGTTTTTAGTCTTCTAATTACATCAGTTTCATCGAGTAAATTTACTGGAAGTCGTTTGCTTTGGTTGCTCAGTTTTTGATGTTATATTGTGAAGTACCTTCTACCCTTCTAAAGTACCCTCTATATTCTAAAGTCTCCTTTTTGACAACAATTCAAATCTTTATACTCAAATCCCCATCGGTTGATATTTCATGATATTTTGTGAACTATCCTCTAACTTTCTCTGCTACAATTGCAATCTTAATACTAACTTTTCCGTATTAAGCTTATAAATTATTTGCATTAGTATAAATCAATAATGATTCGCATAGAGTCCAAAAAAGCAGTATCATTAGTATAGATGACAATAACAATATTATCAAGTATGTTCCTATTAAAAGTGAATAATGTTTATAGGATTATTAATTTATTAAGAAATATTAATTTTAATGCAAAAATATTAGCCATGTTAGTTTTACATAAATTATAATATAATATAATTAAAACTCACAGATCGCCTATAATAAATAGATAGCGTTAAATAACTCGGCATCACGTTGGACAAACGATTCACATGGCTTCACTAAAAAGAATTAGCTATGCCAAAATTCTTCATTACCTCCAACCGCTATTTAGAAATGAAAACCTCAATGCTAAGAACAGGAAACTGATATATAACCAAATAATTCGTCCGTCACTTCTATATGGTTGTGAAGCGTTTAGCAAAGCTTCAAACACTACTATTCACCAGCTAGAAATTGCGCAAAGCCAGGCTCTGAAAAGACTTTTCAAAGTTCCATGGTACATTAGGACGAATGACATGCTCAGGGACATCAAGATTGATCCCATCAAAAAATACATAAAGGATAGAACCCTGAAATTATTTGCGAAATCTGACAGACTTACCAACACCGCGTTATCAAATCTCAGAATGCTTACAGGCTTCTCGGGGAGGTATGCAGATCTGAGGTCAATTATTGCTTAGTCTGATGAAGTGATAAACAATAATCTAGTCAAGGCGCAAAGTGGGGTTTTGAAGAAACCTCAAGTTAAAAAAGAGTATAAGTGCCTAAGTTCACTAGCTCAAAACAGCTTTAACATAATATAAATATGTAATATCTAGGTTGGGTTAAGTTATATCATTGATCCTAAGGATCCATTTAAACCTATTGGCCTAATATATCACCATATAAGAACCCAAAGCTTAAATGTCTAAATCTACATTTATATTAAATATTAATTTCATAAAATTTTAATTAAAAAATATCTTGCAACTTAAGCCTTCATTTATTTCGTATTATTACGAAGTTTAATTTGGAGTCACACGGCGTATACGTAACTTTTTAATGAAAATATATATCCATATCAATGTGCACAGAGTCACATTGCTCTAGTGCGTTCAAACAAAACTTCACTACAAATTAACTTAATATTATGACATATTACAGACTTTTTTGTTTTTATTCGTTTGAATTTTAATTTTGCATAAAAAATCTATTTAATTTTAATGTTACATTTTGCATACTCTTTATCTTTTGTTATAAAAGTTATATTGTAGTTGCTCATCATAATAAACACTGCTGATGTGCGAGTTGTGATGCAGGCAGATGTTCCATTGTGCTGTCGCTGTCATGTATGTGGAATACTCATGCAGTCGTCACATACAAATTTGAATACTCAACATGGTTAAGGAGCACCATTGTGCTTTATTTCATTCATATCTTCTATTCAAAAAAGAAGAAAAAAATTTAAAAACTTTTCTTTCCAATGAGTTTTTAAACATTTCTTCAAAAATATACCCGCAAGTAATGTCCTTTATGCGAACTCAGTATCTTTTTTATGCTACTAAAGTTATATGAGCGAAAATTCATCATGTCTGGAGCATGATTTCATGAAGCACTTTTTTTTACTTAATTTTAATTTTAGTAACTATTTAAGTAATTAAGTGAGGTATCCTTTTTTTATATAAAAATAGGTTTTTTATTGAGTAGTAAAATATACTGATGTTTACTCCTTTTAAGGCTTTTGTAAAATGTTTTTTATTTTTAAATTAGGTATTAGCTTATGCTGGCAGGCCAAAGAAGCCACGCTTAGACCATTAAGGTCCATTGTGATACCAGATCAGAGCCTTAATTTTTTTTATTTAATGTTATTTTTTAAGCTTTGCAACATTTTCAAAGGTTTGTCGACTTTAAAGTCGTTTCATTTTCTTTGTAAAATTATATTATGCTTAAAATAAAAAAAAATTTAAATAAATATTAATGAGGATTTTCGAATAGTAGTGAATTGCAACAACAAAAAATTAATTGAATTTTTGACTGACTATGTAACTATTTCGAGTATTGCAAAATACCCATTATTAATGGACGTTTTGAAAATATTTCTTATATTATAATTATAAAAAAATGTTGAAATCGTGCCCTGCTAAATTTAAAGCTTAATGTCAGTGCTGATTAACCAACTGACCCGAAGCCGTAATTGGTTGAAATTGTGCCCTGCTAAATTTAAAGCTTAATGTCAGTGCTGATTAGCCAACTGACCCAAAGCCGTAATTAATTTGTATGTTTGACTTGGAGTTTTTTTAATCTGTTGTAAATTTGTATTAATAATTTCACTTGCTATGTTATATATTAGAATAAAATATAATCGGCTCTTTATTAAAACAATTGTTTCTAATAAGAAAATAGTTACTTTCGTCAAAACTGGCGTTAAAAATTAAATATAAAATAAAAATTGAATATAAAATAAAGTATTTACTTACATTTAGGCTTAAATTTGAATTTTATTTAATTTTTTTTATGTTCTATAATTTTTAAATATATATTTGGTTTATAAAATTATTTTTGTAACTTAATTTATTTCATATTTAATTTTTATAATTTTTAATAAATTGTATCTTAAAGATAGTTCCATTTTAAATTTAAAAAAAATACCTAATAAATACTGTTAGTTAATATACTTCTTCTACACTTCTTAGATTAACAAGATTAAACTATTATTATAAATATTATCTAACAATTTATTAGCGGACTAATTGGTCATTTAAATAGAAATAATAAATTATAGTTTTTTTTATTTCTATTTAAATGACCAATTAGCTTGATATTAAATTATTATATAATATTTATATATAGTTTAATCTTGTTAATCTAAGAAGTTTAGAAGAAGTCTATTAACTAACAGTATTTATTAAGTTTTTTTTTATATTTAAAATGCAACTATCTTTAAGATATATATTTGGTCACAAATGAAAGTATAAAATATTTTTATAAATATCTACAATATAATATGTATTTATATATATATATATAATATATAATATATATAAAAACTAACTATTTGCATTCGTCTTCAGTAATAACAAAATTTTAAGATGGTCGACAAAACCGAAATATAAAAATATCTACCGAAAAATCTATATAAAACTGTATATAAAATTAAATAAAATTAAATATTAAAATATGTGTTCTATTTTTTTTTTTTTAATTATTTAAAATTTATTTAAACAAAAAAAAAAACAATCTTAAGTCTAACAAAAAAAGCAAATATATAAAACAATTCATATTTAATAATAATATTTGGAAAAAATATTTTAATTTTTTTTTTTAGTATTTTTAAAAATATGTAGGTTCATTATTTATAAAATGTTTTTTATTTTTTTTACTATTTATTACTCTTATATCTGCTATATTCAAATTGTTTATTTACTATAAAATAATTTAATATTTTTTTTATTACTTAAATTTATAGTGTATTTATATTATTGTTTATTATAACATTTTTTATATTATTCTTATAATATAATAAAAAGTACATATATTTAAAAAAATTTTTTTATAAACCTTTTTTTTATATCCAAAATGATTTTTATTACTTTATCGATTATATCAATTTTTAGTGTATATTTTTTTATTGAATATTTTATTGATTAATTTAATATTTTTTTGTTGTATTTATAATATACCAAAAAGGCATATATTAATATTTTTTTTTAATAATTTTTCAAGAATATTTAAAATTCATTTAAAATATTCAAGCTTTTTTCTTCTCATAAATGATTGATTCGAGGAAAGACATACATTGCTGACGGGCTTTTATGCAGTTTTTATCTGGTGCCAAAAACATTTTGACACTCCAAATATCCATTTTTATCCATAATTTTCTTTCCCTTTTTTATATTTCGTTTAAAATTATTTTATGTGCTTAACTTTTTACGCAGCATCACGATTTATCTTGGAATGCTCGCAGGAGTCTTTGGATGCGTGTCAGTAATGTGTCACATTATAAAAACATCACTTTATTGCACTTTCTTTACTCGAAGCAATGATATAATAAAATTCATACTTTGTAAAACATTTTGAAATATTTTTAAAATAATACTTATGTATTTTATAAATTTGCTTTTTTAAAGGATATATATTTTTTTTATATTTGCTCTCTGTTGAAATGTGTTTATATTGTAGATAATCATAATCCAAAATTTGATTTTATTGTTTTTATAAATTATTAAATAATAATTTGGAAAATTGCTTTTATTGAAGACATGGGTATTCAATCATTTTAAAACAATAAATGCCTTTTTATTTAAATAAGCAAGTATACAAACATGACATATAAATTTGATTTCTAATATTATTATAATTTTATAACCCCTCTCCACGCCTTGACTGAATTATTATTCAGACTAAGCAATAATTGACCTCAGATCTGCATACCTCCCTGAGGAGCCTGTAACCTTTCTGAGATTCGATAGCGCGGTGTTGACAGGCTAAGTCAATTTTCGTAAATATAGATTATAGATTATGTAAATTTTAATAACATATACTCATAACTACTTTAACATTTGTTGCGGTTGTAGCTCTGCGTATAAGGAGGAAACTGTATTCCTCCTCATGTGTCAGTGTTCATCATTAATTAAGAGAAGATTTAAAAGCTTTGAGGATTTCTTTTCTTTTTGTCCTGAGAGCGTGTTAGTCCTATAAAAATAGGACAAGGTTCACTTGTCAGATTGGTTCACTTTAATTTGAATGGGGTGATTCTGCATTTTGGCGTTGCTCGTACGCTGATCTCTAATCAATACTCAAATGGGTGTTGGGCACAAGGCCGCCACTCGAATCGAATTGTCGTTACAAACAGTACTACCGCTACGCAAAATTGATACGATTACATAAAAATGATAAAGGTTCTGTAATTTTAAAACTTGTGACTTTAACTAGCACTTTGGCTGTTGTTTATTTTATTTTCTTCTTATTTTTTCAATATATGCTTCTGAATGAAGTAGATAAGTTACTACGAAACTGTTTAAATTTAATTATATTCAATTGACATTTTAACATTAGATTTAAAGTTATTTTTATGAAACATTTATTTTTCTGTATAAATTCTGTATAAATCTATTTTAAATATGTATATTATCATTATTTTTTTAGTTTTGATTAAGAAATTGAATGGGACGTAAAGTGATGATCCGTGAAATTAATTGAAGTGTCTTAATGTGATATAGTTTAATTCATCATAATTTCACCATACTTTTTTTTTTGTCTTTCATATTTAAAGTCATCAAGTTGTCAAGGAATGATGACATCTCTTTAATTTGCATAAATAATTTGTCACTGCCTATTAGTAAAGTGATGGTAGTATCTTTCTTTTGCCTTTATGTGCGGTCGCGTGTAATGTTTTATTGGCTTAAAAAGAAATAGGGCAACTTTTATAAATTTGGCCATGACGTTACTTCCCCTCGTATTTATACAGCTACATATACGAGTATAATATGTATATGCGAATTTATATGTACACAACTAATACTGTGACACATTTTTCTGCTGTTTATCTCCACAGATTTCTTTTATTGCATTGAAATGCAATTCACTAGCCTGCTTAAATGCTGCTTACTGCAAACAGTTATCCTCAGGGTATATGTCACACATAATTTTTATTATTTCCATTCTTTACGAGTGTACTTTCCTACAATGCACACTTTCCATTATCTGAGCAATAATATGCATTCGCTCGTACGTAGTCTCTATAGAGTTGCTGACAACAAATATGGTTGCACTCCAGCCGTGTTACATTGTCATTAAATTGGCAACCCGCTTTTCCGATCTTTTATTTACTTGTACAATCCATTGTTTTAACACTGCATTCTTTTCAATGCATTCATCGGGGATAGCGACTATTTTGCGCGTGATTGCATATATTTTCATGCAATTTTTGCGTTCATATAAGGAACCTTCTATGTTTGCCAGAGTGTATGTTTGTGGATAAACTTTCATTGTGTGAAATTATTTGCTGCTCCTGTTATTTTAACTGCTGCTCTTGCGATTTTTAAAACAATGCGCTTCAAAACCCAAGCATATTGTTTATACCTTCATTACTTTTTCCAATTTTTTTCCTTTTTTCCAATTTTTTTCCTTTTTTTTTGTGGTAAATGAATTGTATGAAGAACTGAGCTTAACAGAGATAATGTAGGACACCCATTGAATATTACGAAGGATTATAAATTTCATTTTTAATTTTTGCTAGCTAAAATCAAACAATAGTATTTTAGTATTCAAATATAGTATTGTACTTTGCTTTGGATGTCATATTTTACTATATTTTAATCCTCGATTTTTGCACACAAAGCTAAACTAATTGATATTGAACATTAAATATTTAACAATATTTTTTGAAGAATTAAAAAATTTAAATGCTGTATTAATTCATTTTAAAATGAATTTAATAATATTAATACTAGTGCATACCTCAAAAGTATTTTTTTATCTTATAACATATATTTCTGTATTTGAATGGACTATATTGAATAAAAATGGTACTATCACTGCGTTAGTGTTAGTTTCCTATTCTGATTTTTTCATCTCTAAAAATTATCTAACTGCTTGGGTGACTGCTTTCACAGCAGAAGACTACGCCATGCAATCGCCACCGAAAACTATGTAGTCTGCTTCGATATTCTATCTATTCTATTTATGATATTTTATTTATGAACATGATCCTGATTATTCTGATCTGTATTATAATATCGAGATCTATGTTTCGTCAAGAGCTTTGTTTTTTCGATCCACTTTAATAAGTAGAGTTCTTTGAGTACCTGTTCATGTATCTGTAAATAAAGTCGCGGGCCAAGTAACAACATCTAATACCCTTTTCAAATCCGAATTGAGCTTTGACACCAACACGATAAATATTTACATAAAAAACATATAGAAGCAAAGTTAATAGGATTCATTATTGTTGATTCAGTCCTACAATCCAAATACTCAAAAGCGATATCGACGTCTCTCCACAGCTAGTTCTCAGAAACTCTGAAGTTTCCAAGATACTTTCACATCTCCACTTCACATCCGCGATTTCTATCCCATTTTCTCTAGTTGAATATAATATCGTAACACGTTGCCATCAACTGGGGCAATTTCTTCTACGAAAATTGTATCTATAGATTTTTTGTAAAAATTCGGTTTACAATATTTTTTCTCTATATCTCCAGTGTAAATATTCGACATAATTTTCTTTAAACTAGACTTTAGTTTTAAAGCAACTAGTAATATAATTTAGTATATTTATCAAATTTGGCATTATTAAAATATGTTTATTTCATTTCAGCTGTCCTTTTCTCGCCACACGCATCAATCCTGTCATACCAATTGTTGGTGCAGTCTTATATTTTTTCACAATGAGTTCCTTGCTACGAACAACCTTCACAGATCCTGGTGTTATACCTCGCGCATCTTACGATGAAGCGGCGTATATAGAAAAACAAATCGGTAAGTTCACTATTCCTCTCCCTAGGCAGCAGCAACAATAAAAGTTTAGTTACAAACAAATTATTTCTTCTTATACGTGATTTTGAGTATTTTTCACTAATGAGATTTTTTCCATTTTTATCTTTTATTTCATTTCATGCTGTCTTAAACCATTTTTATGTTATTATGCTTCCGTTTGGTGCATTTCCTGTCACTGCTACTTCAATCGCTGTTGCAAATATTTTTATCATTATTTTTTATTGCACTTGCTGTGGATCTCTGACGTTGTTGCTGCTCGCTCCTGGTACTCAACATGATGCTACTGTTGCTGTTGCTATTGTAAACACCATGACTATCACAGAAGTGCCAAATTCACTAAACAGCCCCACATATCGACCTCCACCACGTACAAAAGAGGTCCTCGTCAAAGGACAAACTGTGAAATTAAAATATTGTTTTACGTGTAAGATATTTAGACCGCCACGTGCATCACATTGCAGTCTATGTGATAATTGTGTGGATCGCTTTGATCATCATTGTCCTTGGGTAAGTGAAATATTAAAAAAAAAAGTTTAATAGTAAATTATTTGTTGTAAGGCTATAGAAGTAAAGCTATAGAAATCAAGTTTTGATGTTAAATAAATTTACTTACTCATTTAATTGGTCGCAAAAGCCCGTTTTTTGGGGTCCGGCCAGAGAAAAAATACATAATAAACTTTTGTTTTTCGGCAAGTTGGCTTATGAAATTTTAAATGAATCCTGGCGAAATCTCGGCAATTAGAATATTTTGAGAAAAAATCGCATATGACACTTTGACTTTTATAATTAATTATAAGTGCGTTAAAAATGTCGGTTCAGTACGACGTCTGAAGGATAATTCCATAGTAAATTAAACCCATGATATAGTGATGAAAGAATGGTGAATAAAAACATACGAAATTACTGATTTATGATTTATTAAAAATTTTAAATAAATACTTTCATAAAATTTTTACATATCATTTATATATGAAAAAGTTACCAACAACGAATTTGAACACTGTTATTCTCTGTATGAAAGTGCTCCAAAGTGATGGAACCAGTATTATCAGCAGAATAGATAAATATCTTTAGCACGCACATGTTATAATTTTGATTATCGAATAAGAAAAATCAATATCACTGGTGGACGATTTTACGTGAAGGGTGCCAAACCCTGTTTAGCTTAAAGTCCTTGAAATAGCTCTCTCTGTACGTAATATTATTTCATTACTCAGTGGGTGCTAGGTAACTCTCTAGGGGGGCCACGTGGAGGTTGTGCAACAACTTAGATTGAGGATAACGAGAATTCTATGTTAAATATAATCAAACATGTTGCCTTGTGTACTCTCTCCTAGCGGCTCGCGGGCACTTCGCCCTAAACAATTAAGGGGATAATTGTTATAATTATAATTATTGATAATTTTTTTAAAATTTGGCATCTACTATAAATTACCTAATAATATTTGAAAAATTTGCCATCTTTTATAAATAAGGTTTTAATGTTATTAGTGTAAATAGCGTAAAGTTTTATTATTACTTACATTACAACTTCTTTTTCAAGAAAAAGAGACTAGTGTGCATATTAGTGCCATACTTTTTAATGAATCCAAGTTCGCTGATCAGTATGTTTTCAATAAGCCCTCAAAGACCACTGTGTGTACTTATAACGTTGTTAAGGCATCTGTATGCAATTTTCCCCGTAGTGATTGCCCCGTAGAGATATCAGTCTTATGGTTAGTTTACTTACAGCTCACTGCAAACAAGAAACCATGCTAAAAGATTGAATCTCCCTTTCAATCATAACTGTCGCTGCTGTGGAAAAAATGATCTACTCTGTCTGGTTCCAAGAACGGCCGGGTCTACGTTCCGGAGCCACTAGTAGAAGACGACCGAACACCGTTCAACCACCCCTAAAGGGACTTCACAAGCGGGGTCCCGGCGGGTTACAACAACAACAACATTTACTCATGCACGGCGGTGACTCAATACTTTAGGAGCTCCCTTTCTTAAGGATCTTGATCAATTACAAGACCTGCCACTAAACAGCATTTTAAACTATGTCAAAGGTACTATGTGGCTTTAAATCCTGAATTTTTCTCTATATACGGTAACACAATGAGTCGATAGGACTAAGTGAATCCACTATGGATCGCCGGTATAACAAACATAACCTATAGTTGTTATATTAAGTTTCTTTTTTGTTATTCTTTTTTTTTTTACTTTTTGAAAAATGTAGTGAAGATTTTCAAACAGTTATCTTTTGTGCTATAAGATCAATTAATAGCTAACAAAATAAGGTGCTACATATGGTATGACCGAAGCCCAAAAAGATGTTTGATGAAAATTTTTTTTATAATGTATGCTTATGTGGGGTCTACTATCGTTGCCTTTATATGGATATTTCAAAATAAACCGTTGTAATGTAACCAATCATAGTCAATATTTCCTTTTTTCATTATGTATTCTGGTTATAACTATTAAAAAAACCCTAGTAATAAAATTGTGGACTAAAAATGTATACAAAAATATAGTTACATTTATAAAATTTCATGTACTCTCATGATGTCCTGCAGTATAAGTTTAAATAAATATTAAATAATATTAAAGCTATTGCTTTTAAAATTTAAAAGAAAATTAAAAATGAAATTGAAAATTTTTTTTTGTGTGACTTTAGCCTAATTTTATGCTTCGTAAATACAAAGTAGCACATAAAAAGGTTGAGGTTGACTAATGCCTTTGTAATTTTTTTACTTTGTACTCATCAAAAGGACACATTTATACATTAATGTATGCGCGAAAAAGTTGTCCTTACTGTGCTTCAACTGCAGCGAGGGTAAACAACAGTACTGGTTGGTAGGTTGGCAACAACAAAAACAAAATGGTTTTTACTGAGGCAAAAATTGTGGCATAAATACAGGCGTAAATCCTCGAGCAGCTTTAAAAAATGCAACAAGACATGGCGTGGCATGGCGTATCAAGCAAAATAAGCAAGGCAAACAAGGCATCAGGCATGGTTAGAAGCTACTCTATTTATATAGACACATAGATACTTAAGTAGCCGTACTTATGTGCCATTTAAGAGCTGGCAACAACAACAACAACAATACAGCGGCAGTGGTAGAGTCAACACCAGTGTGAGCACCAAGTTTTGAATATTTTATTGGGGGGGGCCCGAAAAGAAATGCATGCAAGTGCAGCGTTACTCGTACTTTTGTGTTAAGGTCAAAAACCATTTAAAATTAAAATTTGTTGCTATATGCAAATAAGCAAACAAACATTTTTACATACATAAATGCATGAGCTTAATGTACACTTTAATGGCTTTACTGCTATTAAATTATATTATTTGCCTTTATAGGAAATGATATTTCTTGTATATTGTAAAGTACTTAAGCGTTTAAGCTCGTTCAAGCTTATTATCCTTACCGCCTTTAATTTATATTAGTGATTGCATTGATTGTTGTTGTAATTATCAGCTATTAAATGCAAATACCCATAACGCGTAGAGCTGCTGCTCACAGCCGCAAATCCTTTTATCCCAAGTGTCTGTCTTTGGCCTTGTATGATAATGACACTTTGTCTGCTGAGAGACACGCTCCTCCGCTCATTTCGTCGAATGAAATGTATAGATGAACGGTTGGTTGTTGCTATGAATTAGTGGGTGTTCTGGTGTGGTGTGATATACTGGGCTGTAGTGTTAGCTTGACATTTTGTAGGGTTTATTGGTATAGGTTACTTTGTCACTCGTTCCAGTTACTTTTGATTGTGATTCTTGTTGTTTTCGTTTTTGCTGCCGTTGCTGCCGTTGCTGCCACTGTTGTTGAAGTCTAATTTCATGCCACAATGACGAGACACGCTGTCGTCTATATTAATGTAGAAGTGCTCACAGAACTTTTCGGAATTGCTTGTTTATTGTGCTTCTCGAGGGAATTTTGAATTTTAAGCATTTAATTGATAATCGTAAAACTATAAAAAGTCATAAAACTTTTAATGTTTTTACGAAATCAAAGAGTTTGTGTTCTGCACGAGTGAACTTTTTGTTCCTTGCTATTAAGCAATGCACAGCCAAAAAAGGAAGTTGCGCTTGAATTAAAATTAATTTTGATTTCCTTACAGATTCCATTTTTGATTAGGAGAAAAATAATACTATTGTGATTTGAATAATTAAATTATTTATTGTATTTTATAACATTATCTATCTACTGTATTTATTTATTTATTTATTTTTTTGTAATAATGCATAATTTATTTTTTTATTTCAGGTGGGAAATTGCGTTGGAAAACGTAATTATCGCTTCTTTTATTTGTTTCTAGTCTCATTGGCATTTTTAGCTGTATTCATATTTTCATGCTCTGTGACGCATTTAGTTTTATGTAAGTATAAATATACAAAAATTAAAAAATATATATTAAAAAATTATAAATAAATGAAAAATTCTTCTTTTGATTATAAAACTATCATACTACACATACACATACACACTACTATGTACAATTTTATCTTAGTCTTAAAGTTCTAACTTGATTTTTTTATCTCAGATAATACCAAACGTCCCTTAACACTGCAACTGCAGTCAACAGCTGGTTTTATATACTCAATGGTATTTAGCCTCAATGGTATATCAAGTTTTAACATGATATTTTTAATATTGAAATGGATTATCTATTACTATATATTTCTCTCCTTTTCTGAGATAATATCTGACATTCCTAAACACTGTAATTGCAGTCAACGGTTGCATTCATATACTCACTTGAACATAAAATCATGCTACTAAAGCATATCACTTGCTAAGTATGATTTTACTAAATATTTTCTTTACTAAATATATCTGTTCTTATATCTGTTCTTATATCTCTTCTTATATCTGTTCAACACTGCAACTGCAATAAATAGCTGGTTCTACATATACTTTTGAACTTAAAATTTCGATGCTACAACGTACACTTTAATACGTATGATTATATCTAAGAATTATAACGGAATTATAACTTGATATTTTTTATATTGAAATGAATTATCTATTATCTATATGAATTATCTATTATCTTGGTCTTAGATAATATCAAATGTCTCTCAACACTACAACTGAAGTCAAAAGCGTGCATTTTATACTCATTTAAAAATAAAATCATGATATACTTTACTACGTATGAATTTATTTTAGAGATAAACTTCTAACTTAAATTTTTTGTTATTGAAATTGATTTTCTATTACTATATATACCTGTTCTTATCTCAAATAATATCATAGACTCCACTAGAGATAGCTCAAACATAAATTGAGAAAGTTACCAAATTTTGTTTACTCGTAACATAAGTCATAATAGGTATAGCTATTTGTTAAATGCTTATTATAATATAATTATTATTGAATCTTTCTTTCTTAACGTGTACCCAAATTCCAATTCCACACCATATGACTGCATCCAATTGTTAAACAATTTCACTGCACATACAAAGTTGTGCCTCTTGACTTCTGATTTTATCATTTTGAAGATTCAATTCCAAACTCATCCTTTACACTTTTTCTTGCTTTTCAATTCCATTACTCTAATTCGTCTGTTTTATAGTTCCGATTCTCTTATTCACTCATATTCACAGACGTTATCTGTTGTTCTCGAAACCTGCGGAGATCTATTAAGCCTGCGGAGAGCATGAAGGAAATTACAAAGACGTAAACATGGCTTATGATGTTAGTGACTGATGTTATTGTGAGAGGAAAGGGGATTGTTTACGAGTAATAATAGATTAAGGAGGGGTAGAATCATCGCAAAGAGGCGAAACCTAGCCAATTCTCTAATTTATAATGTTTGAAACGTGTTAGTTGGAGTATGTTTCTATTTGCTTCTCTGTGGTTGGCATTACAAAAATGATAGTTGGACATTATACGAGAAAATTATACATTTCATCATTTTTATAATTCCCACCATTCACTCTCACTGCTCATTATTATATTATGGTTCCTAAAATGTATTGAAAACTAATTGTAAACTATTCTTTTGACCAATGGTTAGGCATTCCTATATTTTACTTACTGCATCGCTACAGAAGTTATATTTTAACTTCTATAATTTATATATATTTTTTATTATTATTATTTTATTATTAGTTTTTATAGTAATGTCCTCATGTCCAAAATATTTGTTATAATTTTTTATTTCTTTTAGTAATGAAAACAGAACAGGAAGTCTTCGAAGTGATTAAGAAGGCACCATTCACTGTGATTGTTGTGTTTATATGTTTCTTTTCAATTTGGTCTGTGATCGGTTTAGCAGGTTTTCATACATATTTAACAACAAGCGATCAGACAACAAATGAAGATGTAAGTTTCAAAATATTTAATATATCAAGTTATTCTAGCTTATTATGATTTTTTTTCATCTAACACAGCTCAAGGGTTCATTTTCCTCAAAAGGTGGACAGCGTTCAGTCAATCCGTATTCACGTGGCAATATATGTCTAAATTGTTGTCACATATTATGTGGCCCAATGACGCCTTCTTTAATAGATAGGTCAGTATAAATATTTAGTTATATATATGGTATATACTAATAACACAATTGTTCTAATCTTTTTTATGTTTTTCAATTTGTAAATAAATAATCAGGCGTGGCATTGCTACCGACGAATATATCTTACAAATGCAGCAGCATTCAAGTCCACGTCATCCGTTAAGTGATGTTATGAGTGCTACACATGTAGGCAGCGCAATGGTTACCTCACAGCCAATGTTAGGTGGAATCGGCAGTGCCGTTGGCGATCTCAAACCACGTCTTTATGACGAGGTATGTACTTAATTCTATTGACATTAATATGCATATTTGGCCTGTTTTATATATATATATATGTGTATATTTACTTATAAAATTCTTCAAATTTTAACCGAAACACCTAATATAGTTTCATTTATACTAACAAAAATACTTTGCACTAAAAAATGTTCCCTTTATTAATTTTTTTTTTATTTTATTTTATTACACCGTTGTTTATTCACGGTATCATCATTTTATCTAACATCATTTTACACGCCCGCTGTCAACGCCTATAAATATGCAGTCAAATCCATCCTCATCTTCGTTAGGCACCACTGGTGGAGTCTATAGACCGCGCAGTTATGATAATTTACAAAACGGTAAGTCACAGCAACACCAAAAATGCTCATTACAAACATTATTACCACCCACACATCAACACAAATACCATAAACAACCAGAACGACAAATACTTCATGAACCGCACAGTGCGATAGCCACACCACAACTTGTACATTCACCAGCAACATCATCGTATCGTTTAAATCTCAAAAGATCACTACATTTACCACTTTCACCTTCGTTCGATGTGCGTAATTCACCGCTACCTTTACTGCACCATCATGCTGTACATGCGCAACACATTGCCGCCAAGCTACAATCGGCAGCGGCTATAACTACGACTACAGTGACGCCGACAGTGCCAACAACAACAGCAGCACCACCGCCATTAACACCAAGACGTCCCTCAACACTACAACTGCAGTCAACAGCCGCCATATCCGGTAGCACCACTACGCTGACGACAATACACACAATTGCACCACAACCACCTGCGCCAAACGATTTTAAATACTTCTCACCACAGCGCAGAACCGATTCGAATTTAATGACACGCGAACGTAATCCATTCCCATTCCATAAGGCACGCGGTGTACGTCGCCAATCAACACAGTCTGTCGACTCGCAAACAATCACTGTGGGCGGTTATCAACCGCTGCCGATGCGACCACGCTACAAACATCAAGAGGTACTCTTCGAACTTAAATCACCAACAAATCGACTGACAATTCGTGAATGTGATTTCGGTGGTGGCGGCGAACCCTGTGACGACGATCAATCCATTAAAGATAGTCAGATTTTCCGTGTTAGTAAACGAAATCTTTATATGAATCACCGATCGCCGTGGAAGGAACGCGATCGTTACTCCAATCTCTATGAGTATTCATTCAATATTGATTTGAATTCAATCATTGAAGATGCAGCGGGCAGTGATTCGTCATAGTACGAAGCTTCTATCACAATTGTTACTTGCGTTGCCAATGCTGTCACCTACTACTCCCGTACTTCCATTGATAACACTACTGCGTTGTCTGAGCTTCAGTCGCAACAAACTGAATTTGTTGTTGTTGTTGTGAAACTAATTAAATCATTAAATATTAATATAATTAAATTACGTACTGTTGCAACTGTTACAGCAATTTTTGTTGATATTGATATTGATATTGATGTTGATGTTGTTGTGGTTGGTATTATCCTTTTCTGTACTCGTACTCGTACTCGTATTCCTTGCTATACAAAAATATATTGAACATTTTGCAACAATGGCCAAATTGATATACAACAAATTCTTTGTTGTTTGCTGAATGTAACGTATGCAATAATATTGAATAATTAAATAATTAAATTATTTTTTAAACACAAAAAGACTAATTTTAAAATTGTTAACAATTATTTTATACATACGATTTAATTGATATGAATACGTAAGTGTTTCAAAAATGATGAATAATTATTTTTGTTTAATTAAGCATTTATATTGAATATTAAAAAATAATTGTGTTTTCGTTTTATTCGTATTATTTAAAAAATCATTTAAATAATTTACATATATAATATTATTTAATGAATTTGAAATTTTTAGATGCCAAAAATAATCTCTTTTCAAAAATTAATAAAAATTCAATTTAATTTATTTATATATTTACAAAAATTCGATTATAAAAAAATTTCAGTTTTAAAAATTCTAGTCAAACAAATTTCCAATTGAAGTGATATTAAATTTATTCAAGTTGTGGTTAGTTATTATTATAAGTTTATTATTATTATTATTTTTTTTATATATAAATCTACTTTGCATGCTTTTTAACACTGCCGATTCTCAGTTAATTTATAGCAAAATTTCCATTCGAAATAACCAATTCCCTCATGGTTATTACGAAAAAGTATTGCGAAATTTTGCAAATAAATAAGTTATACTCAGATTTAAATTAAGTTCAACTGCTCTGGGATGAATATTTAATTATATTAAAACAAATTTTTTTTGTAGTAAATTTTGGGAATATGTTTTTCAAATTCTATTAAAAAAATTTTAATATATGTATATATATATTTTTTTTTTCGTATAATATTTATATAAAATTTAATTTGAAATTATATTATTTTTTAAAATTTTAATATATGTATATATGATTTTTTTTTTGTAATATTTATATAAGATATAATTTTTTCTTTGAAAAAATTTTAATATATGTATATACATATTTTGTTTTTTTTTTTTTGTATAATATTTACATAAGATTTAATTTTAGGTAATATTATTCTTTAAAAAAAATTTTAATATATATATATATATTTTTTTTTTTTACTTTTAGCATTTAAGTAATATTTTATTTTAGATTATATAATTTCTTCAAAAAAAAAATTTAAATACATGTATATGCCTTTCCTTTTTTTGTTGTTACTTTTAGCATTTAAGTAATATTTTATTTGAGGATAAATAATTCTTTTAAAAAAATTTTAATATATATATATATATTCTCTTTTTTTGTTTTTGTTATAGTATTTATGTAATATTTAATTTAAGATTAAATAATTTAATGATATTATAATAGTTGATGCGCAGTCTGAATGAATATTTCCAATATTTTCTTTCTCTTGCAGAATTTTATTGAAATGAAATATACTACTAGATTTTTGTATATATATTTCCAAATTTATTTTTGTCCTACTAAGACTTTTACATTTATTGAGAGTTTCAGTTTTAATAAATATACGAATATATATATTAAATATACAATATATTTAATAGACCTTGGCATTTGGTATGAAGCACAACATTCAAATCTTACAGTAATAGATCCTTTTGTAATGTTCGATAATTTGTCTAGTATATATATTGATGATTGATGATTTTTTTTTTTTAATTTAAATTCAACTTTTTTAATTTGTTGATTCAAAATGATTATTCCATTATTTCAATAAATACTTAAGCTGTTTTATAGAAGAGTTAAACTTATATTCAAGATAAAGTGGTTAATGTCGTGTTTTAAGAGCAGTACCAAAGCAATAATTATCTATTCATATTTCACTGATATGTAATTATTAATTATGTTTCGTATATTTCTTAAGAAATAATGAATATAAATGGTAGTAATATATTTTTACCTTAATTTTTTAAATTAAGTAGTACTTAACTGAACTCTGTGGTTAAGTAGCCTTTTCCTGCTTATCTATTTTCAAAGTTTCTAATTAAAAATGTATTCCTTCTATTTTTTCTATAACTTAATCAACTTTTTCTCTACCCAGTGTTCGTTGATTCGAACATTCGAAATGAATTTGTTGTTTTAAATTCGTATTTTTTTCTACAATTGATATTCTTCAACATCGCTATTTAGCTCACTTCTTTTCTTCTCCCACCTTGTTGAGATTCATCTTTTAAATTTTCTATTCCCCTTCTCTGTCTTTTATCCGTAATATTTGATTTTTAGTGGTATATAGTATATATATGGTATATATAGTTTATCTGATTTGTATATATTATTTATTTACTTCTTTTTTCGGACTTCAAATGCTCTCATAATAGATCTTTTATTTATTCTGATTGCTAATATATTTTGATATAAGCCATTTTTTCACCTTTTTTTATTAAACTTGCTTCATTTTCGCCGATTTAATATTAAACTGATATTAATATTAACTTATAAAAGTTTAATTCCTTCTTCTTAAAATCCAGTAACTAAAGTTTCTTTCTTACTTCGATAACAGCTCCTCTTTGTATATTGTAATTAAAGATTATTCCGACTGTTCAAGTTATACCAGAACTTTTATATTTCTCCACTAATATAAGGATGTTTAGAAAAATGAATAATATTATAATAATAATGTTTATTATTTTTTTGCGTGAAAATGTGAATAATATATGATGTATGTATGTGCATTGCTGATATTTGAAGGAAAGGAATTGTTGGGAGAGGAATTATATTTTTAAATTTGTTAACTCTCTGTTTCTCATTCTTCCTAGTTTTCTCTTTTTTCTTTGATTGTTAATAATTTTTTTCCACTCCAATTTATATTTTCAAAATTGTTGCTCTATTTTTATTTTATTTTCATTTTTTAATTTTATAGTTTTCAATATTTAAGGTCTGCATTTTTGTTATACTTTCCTTTGTTTTTGTTTATATTATCTTATTTCACGTTTCTTCTTTTTATAATTTGTCATCTTCCCCTTTCTTCTTTACTTTATTTTATAGTTTCATAATTTTCCATAGTTTTTCCTTTTTAATTATCTTGTATTTTTTTTTTTTGATTATTTTTTTATGTATCATATTTTTCCTTATATTCCCTATATAGTCTAATATTTTTCTTTTTTGCTTTGATTCCTTGATGTATATTTTATTTTTCTCTTTATTCCCTAAAATACCGCTAAAATTATTTTCTTTTTTATTTTTGTTTATCTTATCTTATCTAATTTTTTTTCTTTCCTAATTTTTTCCATGTCTAATTTTTGCTTAAATTTTTCGCTTTATATCATATTTTTAATTATATTCTCTAACTTGAACTTTCTCTTTTGGTTTCTTTGTTTATTTTGTTTTCATTTACACTTCTCTGATGTTACGTATATTTTTTATCTTTGTGTTTAGTAACTGCTCTCAGTTTGTGTTTTCTCTTAATTAATTTTATTTATATTCTCCCATTTTCCGAAACTCCCTTGACTTTTTCTCTTTTTTAGTTTTATTTATATACTTCCACTTTCCGAAAATCTCTTGACTTTTTCATTATTTCCTTCTTTTGGCCGTTTGTATCTTTTTTCTCTATCTCTCTGAATTCCTTATTTCTTTATATCTCTATCTCTCTAAATTCCTTATTTCTTTATTTCTCTATTTCTCTGAATTCCTTATGTCTTTATATCTTTATCTCTTTAATTCCCTGATTTCTTTATATCTCTATCTCTTCCTTCTTTCTATCTCTTTGAATTTTTTTTTTTATATCTCTATCTCTCTGAATCCCTTATTTCTTTATATTTCTAGCTCTCTGAATCCCTGATTTCTTTATATCTCTATTTCTCTGAATTTCTTTTTTTATATCTCTATCTCTCTGAATCTCTTATTTTTTAATATTTCTATCTCTCCAAATCCCTTATTTCTTTATATCTCTATCTCTCTGAATCCCTAATTCCTTTTATATCTCATTCTCTGAATCTCTTAGTTTTTTATATCTCTTTCTCTCTGAATTCCTTATCTCTCCGAATCCTTTATTTCTTTACATCTCTATTTTTTTTTCTTTCATCTATTTTTATTTCATCCATCTTAATTTCATCCATTTTAGTTTTTTCATTTTTCTTTAACTATTTTAAATATTTCTTGTGTCTCTTTCTTCCTATCTTTGCTTCCTTTTTTCGTATTGTTCTTTATGTTTTTTTTTTTTTTCAAGTTAGGTGCTGAAAAAATTTTGAAAATTGTAATAACGATGTCTTCTGTTCGCAAATAATTAAGATTTGAATTTATTATGACTTCGTTTACAATATTTTAGCAAAGGCTTTTTAAAACCCCGCAGCATGAGGTAGTTTGCCTTTCGAACACCTACGTTATGTTATATCGATTTGGTAAAATTTTGTTACTCCACGTAGAAGACTACCCGAAGTTTTATTTTAATAATAATCCCTAGTTGGTTCATACAAACTTTTCATTTATGTAGCACCTTTATATCCAAAGCTAATTCATATATACTTTGAGTCAAATGACAGTTTGTCTCGAATGTATCGATATGAATACAAAATTTAATTGTATATATGTGAGATAACAATAATAGAATATCGTCGAAAGGTAAATTTTGATTGGAATGTTTTAATTTATTATATATAAATAATTTTTGTGTATAATATTTTTATTTTAATTAAATATTTAAATATATTTTTTCAAAAAATTATTTTATTCGATCAGAACTAAATTTTTTTATTGTTTAAATTTATTGCGGTTAAATTTTATTTTAAAATGAATTTTGCATAAATATTGACGGTATTCTTTTGTTTTTTATATACAAAATATTTGGGATTATTTTAA